CGCGCAGTGACCTGGTAGATTTTGTGACTTCCCTCCAAGAGGGCTGAAGTTGAACGGCGATGCACAGCCCAGCTCCGGCAGTTTCGGTCTTTGTCTCAACTATACAAAGCGATTGGCTGACTACTGCTGACTGTCAGGTTACCTGTGGACAAATGGTAGTATAAAATAGTATAAATGTGATATACATATTACAGTACATATTATATGGACTTTATATGGGGATGTTCAGTAGCTACAAGAAGCAGGGGTAAACACAATTACGAGCAACCTAGATCACCAGCACTTTTGGTGGTCAGAACCATATTGAATGATCAAATCAATGGAATATAATCATATGTGACTATGGCAGCTGCGCGTCCAGTCAGCTGCATGTGTACCTGACTTGAATGCACCATATAATAACAATTAATTCATTGTTAATTCTACATGATACAAATATAATAATAAATAAATCATATCATAGGTCAGGTTATTCCGATATTCCCCGTATAGATATTCTGCACATCCATGCACGACTCCAGCCAACTGTGCCTGGCGAAGCTGTGCTCGGCGTGTTGTCGAACGACTCTTCGTTGAAGAGGAACAGTCGATGGCCAGGGTTCCCAAAATCATCATGTCATCTTAAGATTACCAGGCAATTACCATACTTTGATATAATTTGCGGCCGAAAACTGGATGAACTCCATAGCCCATAGCCACAGCAACTACATGTTCCTACCAATTGTGGCAATTGTGTTGGTGTGGGTGTGTCAATTTAGTGGATTAATGATGATTAATGATGCTGCCGCAGATTCTTCAATTTTGGTTCGATCAGAAGGCTTAGGTGGAACATGGTGGAACCCGCTTGCGCATTTGATCTTAGTTTTTTGTCGAGTCCGGAGGCTCCGGAGGTAGAGAAGGCCATGCCTGAAACGAATTGAACGCAGAAGAAATTGGATCTCAGCAAACTCCAAAGACGGCTGAAACATGCTGAAACAAGAAGCTTAAGAATACTTAAGAATACTTAAGAATACTTAAGAAGCACTGTTTTCATTTGGTTTTTGAGTCGACAGATCTTGCCTCTCTACCTCGCTCTACCTCTAGAGCAAGGTTCGGATATTTCGATTTTGGTAGAGCAACACCGGTTGAACCGGCATGTTGATCGCTCTATATCGCTCTATTCAGATCGCAAGGATCGCAAGGGGCTGCCATTGGTGGCATCAAAACGTATTTTGCACAGGCTGGGTTTCGAGCACGACTATTGTTCCTTTCCAGGTCATGTTTTCATAATGTTTCCATATCAAATTGATATCAATATCGATCATGGTAATATTGCTTTCTATCAGCGAAAGAAGCCTGAATTCAAACTTACAGAGCCTTTAGTGTGCAGAGTCAAATTTAACATGCAATGAATTTAATCTGTCATGATGTGTTGCAGCACGGCTTGCAGTGACAGTTTTTATTCGACCCGGTTTTACCCACTGCAAAGGAACCAAGATGTGTACAATGAGGATTCCTCTTTCCCTAGAGTCTGGATAATTCATGATAATTCTCAATCTGGGAGTTTTGTAAGTTTTGAAACCTTTACGTATGCAATGGGATTCACACGCACAAATGCAAGGACCATGTCCAGTGCCCGTGTTGTCAAGTCCAGGCAGTCACCCGTTGACAACCGAAGATCGATGGAAGTAAGTATAACATGTCGTATAAATACAACTAAAACCTTTGCAGTGAGTTTCCAAATCCTTCTAACAGAGAGACCATTTAAGCATATTTAAGCCATGTTCACCCATTTTCCAGATTTTGTGTGATTTGATGTTTCTTCCCTGGACTTTGGCGAAAAAAACTTTACAACCATGGTCTGGCATGATCACAGCCCTTTTGGCTTGAGCTGAAGAAGTCAAAGCATAAAACCATACATTTGGTTCTGAGCAAACTGATGAAGTATGAAGAAGGACTGAGGCTAGGCAGCTTTTGTTTCCACCTTTGACAGCTGCTTGTCACCATGTCTTACATTGAGGCAGCAAAACGTGAAGCATCGTGAAGCAGTGGCGGTGTGCCAATCTGCTCCGCAAACGTCTTGGCTTACAGCCTGAAAGACTTCATACGTCAAGTCTACTGCCTGCCAGAAGCAAACGCAATGGCGGAAGCAGCCAATGTCGCTCCAGCAAATGCCAATGGCGAAGAGGGTGATCAAGGCAGAGATAGAATAGAATGACCTGGATAGTACTGACATGTACTGACCGTGAGGGTTTTGCTGCAAGAACCCGATGATACATTCACAGCCAGACTTGGTGAGAACTCAACAAATTGAAACAGTGTTGGCTCTTTTTAAGGCAGAGTGCGCTTTGAGTTATTTCATGGCGTTGACAACTTTATCTGTAAGTTTAGAGTCTAGCGCTGTGAGAATTGCGGTGAACTCAGGCCTGTACTCATACTACACTTGTAAACACTTGTAACATCTTGTAATTGAATTGTATATACGTACACTACATATATATAATTATATAATATATTAAATATTATATAATTTATATGTATATAATATACAGTGACTTAATGAATGTGACTTGCAAGTAATATCCAGTATGGTGAAAATGCCACAACAATGGCACTAGTGACCAGTGATCATGTTGAAGAAGAGACATTGTACAGACACGGTACGCGTAAATGCCGTGTGACTGAGATGTTTTCGTGGTTTTAGAAGGTTGAGAGTAGAAAAACATGAAAGCACTTAGCATCGCTGATTCTCTCCTGTCTTTTGAGACTATAAATTTATTTGCATTTCTTCCATCACCAGGGTACAATGTGGTGCAGTTTCCTTGGCGGAACACCTTAAAGTCTTGGTGCCTGGGTACTTCGCCAGGATTCTTCAACGGGCGCTTGCTGCTGCAAGTGCCTGGCTCTTGGAGAGTTCACAGTCCAATTGTGACTTCGCGGCATCGCCATGCCACCCAGGTTTCTTTTCACTACGGTGGCTGCCTAAGAGTGTTTTTTTCCTATCCACACACAGTCTCCATGCGTCCGTGTAGCTCTTTTCAATTCGATACTGTACCAAATATTTCTGTATCTGCTGCATACTTGTGGGTGTAGAGTTGTTTTCAACGGATTTAACAGGCCCATCAGGCGCCGAGATTGCATCTTCAGTTTGCAGGGCCATTCCTGGACTGCAGAATATTTTTTTGGGCTGGGTCGAGTCCAGCGGGTGGCAGGTGGCGGACTGCTTGTTGTGGTGGTTTCACTTACATTGAAAAAGCCAGATTACTCCCTGGTTGTCCGAGTCATCACGTGTCAGAAACCTGTATAGTCTGTATAGTGATATTTGCACGTAAATAGGCGTTTGTTTTCCGTTGTTTTCTATTCCCAACACGGATCACTGTACGAGCAGAACAGCCAGATCAGATCAGATCAGTGGAGTCTGGCTAGTTGGACGACTCGCAATTTTGACTTGTTTCAATCAGAAGCCAACATCATATAACTCACAGCTGGGATCTTTCTCTGTTCCGTCTATGCCAAGTTTCCAGATGTTTCCAGGCTGGACTGAACAAATGCCTCTACGAAAGGTTGTTTGCTCCTGTCCATGTCATTTCCAATGGATTTTGGATATAGATCGATGAATATCTTCGGTGCCGAGGTGATGAATCTCGTGTCACAGCGAGGTCAAGCTCCACAGCAACCAGGTGGACCCCCAGGTCGGACTCAGAATTCAGCGGAACGAAGACACAGACACTGTTTGTTGAATGCTTTGATGGGGAAGATTTGAGCATACTGTAGATAGGCTCGTTCTTTCATGTTTTTTTTTGGCATAATGGATTTCCTTCGATCCGAATGCTTCGGATTTTATGGTGCAGGGGCTGGTTATGTCTGGTTAATATTTATTTTTTCTCGACCTTTTCACATCGCCGGGTGACCTGAAAAAAGTGAATGACCAAGTGATATCAAGTCATCTGATGATATCTGATGTTGAGATTCGCAGGCAGTGCAGGCTCACCAGGCTCAAAGATTCAACCTGTCGAGGGCCTACGAATCTTGGCATTTGCAGACTTGATGGCGAGATGAGTTTTGGGGAGGTGAAGGATGATCTTGCTTTACAGGCAGTTTCTGAACATGTATTTTGTTTGTAGCTAGCATCGCTGTCAAGATGTTTCTGATTCATTCCAGGCCCTAACATCAGGAAATCTGTCCCTTGCCACATGGCAATTACTAGCCACAGAGCTTCCAATCAGTGTTTCTGTTGGCTCGGGACAACTACCCCATAAATAGGTTGCTTGATGTTGCTTGTATACATTGAACCTTATGATAGCTTTCTGAGCTGCCAATCACAATTTATCGCTATATAAGTTGGTGCCAGTTACACATAGGCACTATATTTTGGCTTCAGCACATTGAGTTGCGGGTCAACCAATCATCCAATCCACTTCTAGTCCTTCCAACCCTTTTCCTCCATAGTGATGCTTCCTGAGGAAACTTGTATGGTGTGAAAGAGGACCGGAGCAACCTCGGCCGGCCAAGGCTACAAATGACAAGTTTTTATTTTAGACTTTGTTCATTCAGTCTGTTTTGCTTCCCAAGGGGTTGATACAGTAAATCCATATTTTAAAAATATTCATTTAGAAAACATTGAAGGGATGTTGAATATCACCTTGCAATGGCTGGAGATGATTCGGACAGTTCACCATCCCGATCTCAAGTACTCAAGATTTCTGAAGGCAAGTGGTACTAGTTCAGGACTGCGAGCTACTCGTACACTATGGCTATCTCAAAGAGGACAAATGGGATGGGCTGTGACAAAGCAATTAAAGCTTCTTCAAAAGGAGACGGATCTTACATATCCAACTTGGTTCCGAACGAAGTTTGAGAGTGCTTTTTCATACCGCCAGCCTACTGTAGGTGAACAATGATTTATGGCAGGCTAAACAGAACTTACGCATCTAGATTCTGAAACACCTTTGAATTGACATCCATGCAGCCATTGTGGCTCTTGTTTGGGACTGGCGCTATCTCACGCTTTCCTTGACACCATGTCAGAGGTAACCGATCCGAAGAAGTGCCTGAAGTGTAAGGGCGGCGGTCAGATTCTGCAATCCTTCAACTTCATGAACATGACAATGCCACTCAGCGTGCGATGAAGTTCCTTTCCATTTTTGTTCTAGTTGTGGGCCTTTCCTTGTGCTTGTAATTAGCAAGGTTGAGCGTTCATCAAGACATCAGGGTCTGAGGGCATGGGAACTTAAATTTATGTTGCATTGACATCACAATGTTGTCCTACTGCAGTATCCTCAGTCTATCAATGTATCAATGAATGTACCCTTTTTTTGTTGAAAGTTATATAGCGGATCTATGTATATAGGTTCAAATAGGATCTATATAGGTTCGATTTATAAAGCGGGACGCATTGTCAAAGTGTGGTCCAGAGGAGCTGGCCGAAAGATCACTGCAAGTTTTTGTGTCTATGATCTCTGTGGAAGGAAAGAACAAAGTAAGGCAATTACCTCTCCAATGTGATTCATGTGGAGGGGCTGGTTGGACCGTCCCTTGCCAAGCATGTACCTTTGCTGCAGTGAGTGAGCAATTCTCAGCCACTGTTCTACTCAGGATCGTGCAGAGACGTTCTGAAGATAAAAATGTGGAAATCTGAAAATGGATATAAAATGGTATACATGGATCATATATGTTATATATCAGTTTGTTTGGTTTGATGTTTAGTTACCTACTTTGTGGATGACTACATTTCACTCGAAACTAATGAAGCCTTGGTGAGCCCAATGTTGTGAAACGTATAAATCGGTGTACCAGTCTTCAACATTCACCACGCAAGGAGCCCAGCACATCGAAACATGTGCAACGCTATCTTGATTCAGATGAGCACACTCAAATCGATTTCAACCTTAATGGTTCCAAGGTCTGTGTATTTGTGCGCATGCTTTTCATATGCAACAAGCTGCGAACGATATAAATTGATTAGAACAGCCTCCCAATACCCACACCACTGCCACTTGTGCCAGGCCAAGGGCAAGGCGTCCAGATTCAAGTGTTGCGCTTTGGTCCGATGACACAGCAAGTCCAAGTGATTCTTGAATCAATCAGCGGGATTTTTTGGTGCCTGGACCAGCAAACGAGCAGAAAAAAAAGGTTGTTTTGGTCAATGACCCTGTTTTTAGCCAATTGACCTATTTTGGGTCAGATCGGGCAATTCAACCCAAACGACCCAAAATGGCAGAAATCTGGCTGAAATCTAATTTTCTATGTGTTTCCATGGTGTCCCATCCCATAACTTCACTGTCTTTCACCATAGCTACACTTGTGGCACTGATTGACCCCTGACGTGTTTGACTGGATCCATGGAGCCTGCGCTTTCAGGCCTGAGCCCCCGCTATGCTTTGTCTTTTATTCTTTGCAGGGGTGGTGCATTGTTCAGGGATTGGATGCCAATTGGCAGAAATTTCAATGCTGTATGACACGTGTTGTTCAGATTCTGGCTCGCAAAGATGTACCATCTGAGACAGGTGTGTGTTTGTTTGCGTGTGGGACTCCACGCATACAACTATTTATTTGGCGTTATTCACAACACCTAAGGCAGTCATGCAAAACACGTATGATTCACACGTATTCACGCCGCAGATTTGGGACGGCAACTCCCCGCAAAACAGCAAATCGTCAATTTTCAAGTTTTTCCGGACCAAAACTGCCCCGCAAATCGGGCGCAAAAACCCGCAATCCGCACACAAAAACCCGCAAACGGGCGCAAATCAGGATTTCTGCCCTGATGTGTTTTGACAAAATGATTTTTTTCGCAGCAAAGCTAGGTTTAAATGGCAAATTCTTTTGATTTAGCAAAGCGGGTCAGCCACCTGCAGACACACCAAGAGGGTTGATTGCTGGCTGCATAGCTGTAGCCATTCTTGGGATGCTTTTCAACACACTTAGTGGATCAGATTCTTCTTCATGAGGCCCTGTTCTACGTTTGAGCAGGGGGTATAGAAGTGCATTTCAGTTAGGGATATCTTAAGATGATTTTCTTTGGTATGGCCCAGTGGCTGAGGCTGGGGGTGTTGGCAAGACGACGATCACATCGGAAGATGTTCATGGTTGTCACGTTCATGTCACCACCTGCTTTTTATATAGCAACACAGAAGTGTTTGTACCTTTACCGGCAGGAATTGCTGAAGGTTGGATGATTTGATCTGATGTGGCAAGAGACTCCACGTGTGGAAATAAGACATGGCAGAAAAGTTGGGATCGGGCAGAAATGGCCCAAACCGGGCAGAATTACCATTATTTTCTGAAACGGGCAGAAAACCAAAACGACCAAAATTTAATGGTTGTTTGATGATACAGGTGTGTCATTAACTGGGTAACTGATGGTGCTGGGGAGTTGGATGGGATCGGCAGGTGCTGTCTTCCAATGGATCCAATGAACAGTTCATGACTGAACCAATCGCCCAGGAAGTGTAGCGATTGCCATGGTTGGGGCAAGCTGGCGGCAGCTCGCCAGTCGCCTACAAAGCGCAAGCGCGTTGATGACATGACTGTGGTAGAGCCTGGGCATTTTGATATGTGCCAAGAATGGCTCACAAAACACATATTCAAGCAAACGATTCAAAAGATGTTACCTCAAACATGCCATCCCAAAGTTCCGCTGCTTTTTTTCTTGGAAGCAGCGGGGGTAGGTACTAAGACCCACTGGAGTGGCGCTGATTTCGGCCACTTGTTGTTCCACATTCGAAGTGGCCAGGCTTTTTTGCAAGGAAAGGACTTCTTTTTGCTGGTCACACGATGTCACACGCATCCTCTTGATAATTCCTTTTCCCTGGAGAGTACGACCAACTGTAGTGACTGTAGTGACTAGTCTCACGTCGGATCCTAGGAAATGAAAGAAGAATTGCGGAAGATGAAGCGCAAAGTCACCGGGAACAAGGCAGAGCTCCAGGAACGGCTCGGAGAAGTCTTTGAGACCAATGACCGCGGTTGGGTGAGACGTGGTGCCTCCGCGTTTTCAACCATCGGGTATTTGGAAAGTGGTACCTTTCGGGACGTCTACATGGGGACGTACACTAAAGGGCCAAGGAAGAATTTGAAAGGTGTCTACAAAGTCTTCAAGGACAAGAAGGCAGAAGTGCTCATTCACGAGGATTTGAAGGCAGTTGAAGAAGCAGGTCGTATCATCAAAGCCTTCAACGAGCACAATGACCTTTACATAGGCAGCACAGCAAGACGCCGTGTGTACCTCAACCAGCCAGAGGTTTGGTCTTTGACAAGTGGCCGGCAAGTTCTGGTTGAACCTTTCATTGATGGCACCTACGCCAAGTTCAACTCCAACAGTGGTTGGGTGAATGAAGGCTACAATATGATGCAGGCTTTGTCGCATTTCTCATATCATTTTACCAATGGCCCCTCCTCTGCGCTTGCTGTTTTTGTGTGTGTGCACTTGAAACTGCAAATTGGTTAATCCATGCCAATTTAATACTAGACTGGCTACTAGACTGGCCTTGCACGCATCAAGGTCAGCACTTACTTTGTGACCTACAAGGCGGTGGCTATGATACCCACTACGTCCTCACCGATCCAGCCGTCCTGTCCATGAAGCAGGAATTTGGTGCGACGGATGGGGGAAAGAAAATGATGGAGAACCTCGGGCATTTCAACGACAAACGCGGTCTGAAACTGTCGACAGAACATAGTCATCAATGATATGTCATATATGGCAGTTATATGGCAGTGGTATGCAGTGGTAACATGTGGTTAACATATACTATCATCATGATGCTAGGGTATCATATAATATCATATAGTATCATCATGGTATGAGGATGTGGTACCTGGCAAGTGAAAACAATCATGCGCAGTGATCACAGCCCTGGCGCAAAACTGTCAAGAACTCCTGCTGTGCCATCCCATGAGATCCCCTTTGGGAAACCTCTGAGGAACTTCTTTGCACATCATGTGTGCAATGAGTATTGCCATCGGAGCTGGCGACGAATGGAACGACCTAAAGTGGTAGCTCCAGTACGCTCAGGGACCTCCTTCTTCCCCATGGCACAGCGTTCAACCGCCATGGACGCCTTTCGAAATGATAAATTTAATCGTTGGTAGTCTGACAGTAGTGGAACTGGGGGAAGGTCCGCACTTAGCCGAGCCTAGGGTTAGCTGTAAACAGGCATGGGTTGAACTAGTTTCCGAAGTGCTGCCAGTTATATTTTGACATTGTATAAGAGACTTAAACAAACGCTTACGACGAAACACGTTTTGGCATCTTTTGGCATTGTTCTAGATATTCCAATATATATATGTTATATGTTTCATTTTCAAAGCTGGCTATGTATTTGCATTGCAGACTGTTTGCTAACCCCTTTAGTTGGGCTAGGAAGGTTGCATGCCGAAAATACATGAGGGAACGTTTCAAAGTCGACCAACTGGTTCTGTTAATGAAAAATGTAACACCTAAGACATGATCATTGTTTGCGCTTGTGGACACTGCGAAGATCGTTCCAGTTTTGGCATGCTTCCACTAGGTGGACATTGAACTTCTAACATTTCGTATGGCATCTCTTTTTTCAATTGTCTGAGATGTCATTGATTTGCGATTATCACCGTTCCTAGAGGCTCATGCTCTTGCGAAGAGCTCAACTAGAACGGTGCGGGGCAAGAGTTGGACAAAGATACTATTTTGAATATGCACTGCGTGCACCAATGCTTTTTGCAGGTTTCAGTGTGTCCCACATATGACACCAGGGCGCACTGGCATAAGACGGGGTCTGGGATTTTTCGATCATTGAACTCATGTTTGAGGATACTTGAACTCAGTGTATGTAGCTATGTGAAATCGATTTGCTTCGGGGACCATCCACGAATCCACGATGTGGAACTTCTTATGGGTATGATGAGTTGGATCTTGATGATTGCAGCAATTTGACGACAGATAAATTAGACTATTACTATTACTGTATATATTGATGTTGATCAGGAGGAGTTGGGGAGAGGAGGTTAACAGACCATTTGTTCGATGCAGTCGCCTTCTCTATCGCTTCTTCGAGATGATTCTGCAGCACGAGAGGGAGGCTACCTGCCACTGTGGCATGAACATGTCGTGTGCGGGACTGAGCAGACCGTTAGAAGTTTTTGTGCTTCAAAGTTGACACCTGGACCTTGACCATCCTTGACCCTGCTGTGTGAACTTGTCCAGATTCATCGCTGGAGACTGGAAACTGTATGCAATCATTGGGAATGACTTTGTCACAGTCGCCAACCTGTCACCCAGGTACGATTCCAATGCCACCGAATTCAGCACCCAGGTGAAATGGGGGCAGAGATTGAGCGTATTCTGATGTATTCTGACTACATGTTTTGTCCATGCAGCATGCGATGCGTTTTTGTATGTTTTCGCAAAGTAATTACAATGTATTAGAATGTCCAATCATGCTTGCATCATCACCGCACAGGGATATTCTGCATCATGTGCATTTGTGAAATCCAAATAAATCCAAACAGCAACAGTTGTGCAGAGAGGTCGGAATCGGCCCTTTGCCAAATGAGGAGGGCCGTGAGGGGACTGCGATGGACTGACTTTACTGATTTTGTGTAAAACTGCAAGTATGATCATGTTCTTTGTGATCCCGTGTGCATGGTTTTGCACATTAAGTAGCTGAAGAATGCTGAAGGATGCTGAAGGTATTTGTCTGGATGGAAGGGCGGGTCAACAAAAAGAGTTGAAACATGTTGAAACACATTATATAATATAGAATGTTTATATGTTGTGTCCACCCAGGCTTGTATTTGACAAAAAGTCTGCAAACATTGTGAGGGTCACAGGTATCTATCTGAAAGGTTCCAGATGTGCCGTTCAAGCTGTCACGAGGCTTTGCATGCCGACTCCCTCCAAGTGCCGCACTTGCATGCCACCCTCCTACGGAGGACTAGGGTGCTTTGAGAGCATCCAAGTGATGGTGATGAAACATTCCTGAAGATTAGAACAATTTTAATGATTCAGGCGTGTAATTGATGTGCCAAGATGTGCCAAGTAGATTGGGATTTGGCCAGCCGTGGCCATCACTCTTGTTAATTTTGGAAGATGTTTTTTATGGATCCCATGGATCTTAATGCATGACATCCCTCCCGGGCAGGGCCATCCAGGCTCAAGAGTCAGTTGCCTTTGAAAGTGGGCCATGAATGGCCATGTAAGTTTCTAAGCTTAAGAGATCCAAAGAACCCATTGGAAGGCTACAGTATAGGGGGATATATATATATATATATCAGAAAGACCCCTATCGAGGGTATGAACAACAAGTTCTACATGCAGACCTCATTCTTTCCCAAGGAGAATGGTTGGATCGAAGAGCAGGTTTGGTCACATTGCACTACCATGGGAGACAGGCGACACCGTTTGTCTATGCAGTGGCAGCATCATTTCCTGGCCGGATCAGTGGTATGGACGTCTCTGACATGGCTCATGCTACCAATTGGTGTCTTCATGGACACAGATGCAGAATCACGCATGGTTGGCAAGAGCTTCCTTTCACTCGCACTCCAGTACATGTGATGCATCATGGACACTCATTCCAGCTCGTTATCAATGCAGCAGAAGCGGGAGACAGCTTTGGTGCACTGTCTCCAGACGTACCTGCCATTGGCTCAAGTGAACCAGCTGGATGCAATGCTCCTATTCAAGACCCTGGAAATGCTGATGCTTGTGATTTTGACTCACCCCAGGATGATCCTGAAGGTAGTGATCCGGAGAGCAGTTCAGATGGTATGCATCGCAATGATATGGGAGTTCATGTTTACAGGCTTGGCGAACCTGATCTACATGGCTTTATTCCTTGGAACTCATACAATGAGATTCTGGATCACATCATTCGTCTTCAGCATCTGCCACGCCATGAGATCCGATGCTTTCACTTTGTGTCGGTTACTCCTGTTGGGGTACACACCGAAGCTGAAGAAGCACTTATTCTCCAATCCATTCATGATGTCCCCCCAGGGTCTACAGAGAAACTTGTGTTGGTTGATGTTGAAATCCATTTTCATCCACTACCGACTGGCTTGCATGTTCCAGCTGCTACCAGTCGGAGAGTGATGCGAGTGCTTGATCAATTGCATCGACGACAATTTTTGTTGCTGGCAGCACTTGATGATTACTGCGAGCTACAATCTGGTCGTTGCATGATTTTTCAAAATCACAATCTTTGGCACGAACATGACCGCACTGTTCACAAAATTGAGCATGGGGATTACATCCGGATTCAGGTACCACCGCCTGATGACCCTAGTCTGGACACGGAAGTGGCTATTGCGGTGGCTCGTGATTTTGGCATTGACCACACACAATTATGCCATGCACAGGGCAGCTCTGCCTCATTCTTCCAAGCATCAGCTGAAAAGATGCAGATGCATCTGGCTGATTTTCAGTTTCAACTTGGGGCTCTCCATGAACTCAGCGTTGACAATCTGCTGCATGAATTGCGTTGGTTTGACCAACAACCACGTGGATCAACCACTGGCAGGACCACGTCCATCCAATCTAGCAGAAGTGCTTTTGCGACAGGACATGGATCTCGTTTGAATGCAATTGTGGATGAGGCGAACCTTGTTGAGTGTGAGGAAGAAGGCAGAATAGCTTACATCACGACCTGGTTCATTCATCATGAAACTTTTCAGGAGTGCAGAGAAGCCAGACCAGTCCGACTTGCGGGCTCATCTGAGACTGGTCGGATGAGATTTTGGAGGTTTGGGCCGACATGATCAGAGCTGGTGAGCCTGTCACTTTGAGCGTTGTGTTTCCATGCCCGCCTTGTACGATCTTTGAGTGCAACCAAGCCCATGTCATTGTTGAGCAATCTCTCTCCCCTTTGCGCATCTCTTTGCTTATCACGGTTTGGGTAGATGATCGTAGAGGAAATGGTATTTCACACTTGGCAGTTTCCACGACGCCGATGCAAAATTCGCGTTCCATCATTCGCTTAGCCGACTTGGAAGGTGAATGCGATTTCTCAGCTTGCTCAGTTAGATGGCGTGATCTTCCATTTGCCATGTTTGACTTTGAGGAAGTTGACAATGCAGCGAACATCGTTGTCAGGGTTGTTTCAGCCAATGTCCCTGAAATTGACGAGGTTGCTTTCATGCAGAGGGGCACTCGCCAAAACCCTCATAGCCAGCGCGGTTCTGGCAACCAAAGAGGAGGAAGAGGGAGCAACGATGGCTTTTGCTTCAATGCCGACGCTGCACCTTTTGAGCCTGACAGATTGCCACTTGATCACCAATCAGCATTTGTACAAGTTCTTTTCCGTCTCTGGGACTTGCGTGCATTTGCGTGGGAGAATGAAGATAGGTCCACTCTGGTCCACACCTTCTTTGTCGACCACACGGACATCATTCCCATATGCTCTCCTGGCAGAATGGTTCGAATCTACTCGGACTTTGGTCACTGGCAGCAAAAACTCAAACAAGCTTGGAGAGACAAAGTTCGTGAAGGGAGTGATTTGGAATTTCTTGTGGTTTCACCTACACCTTCATTGCTGGAAGCGGAAGTTGCGGCTTGTGTCCTTCTGGTGCAGTCGCCACGTGCTGACATTGTTTCCGTTGTGGTCTCGGTGTTCGAGGGTGAATTCAGGCCTTTTCAGCTGAGAGCTCGCATTACTGTCACGGTTTGGACCAATATTTATTTGGAACATATTTTGACTTCCATTGGCTACTTTGACGCAGTGCTTGGCATGCGACCCACTCATCAATGCTGGGCTTGGCATGGTGACACACCACTGCGCTGGGGACAGCCATTACCAGGCAGCAATGGATTTGGTATTGTTGTGCATCTTCGACGCCTGCCACCGCTTCCTCCACCGGTTGCAGCTGGGGACGAAGTTGTGACTTTGCAACTTGCGAGTTTGCTCCCTTCACAGGAAATCCCTTCACCAGCTGTTACCTTGGAAGAGGAGACTTTACATACCTGTGCTGTGAAACTCCTGCGTGGGCATGATCAAGTTGCCGCACTACCGGAGTATGTTGAGATCCTCGCTCCCCCTAGTAAAAGCTCCATTGAAGATGAACTCCGCACTTGGGGGCATGACTGCAGGGTGATTCTTTGTCAACCACATGATGTCGCAGTTTGCTTTCCTCAAGATGAGGGGCCCACTTTGGAGCGAGTACACTTCATCTATGTCAATCAGGATGCCACTGACTCTGCTGGAGTTATTCTACATTCGAGTGAATCTCTGATGCATGAGATCTGTCACATGCGTTTTCTTCACCAGTTGAGCTATGAGAAGGCTGTCATTCTGGGAGAAAGAGAGTGCATTGCAGGTCTCAAAGTTGTTGATTTCCAGGAGTCGGTTGGAACATTACAACAGAAGCAATCGCGGCCACGGTCTCCAAAAGCTTGGCCACCTACACGACAACCTGTTGCCCAGTTTACGGAAGTCTTCGCCAAAGATCAGCAACTGACATTGAATCCAACATGCGTGTTGCAGCTTGGTGTGGGTTTCTCTGACCTTGTGAATTTCTTTCAGTCATCAGGGACCTTGTGCGATTCATTTGAGGGCATTGACATTCCTGAAGTTGCTCGGCCTTTTGTGGACTCTTTGCAGCCCGTCCAGAGATATGATCGCATCATCATCTATGTTGACGGCTCTTCTCAATCACTACAGAAGCATTGTGCCCCTCTCTGGGTTGATCTCCATGGCATACCAGATTCATGGGCCTTTGTGGCCATTGGAGAGACTTATGATGCGCCACCAGATCAGGCCTTTTGTCTTCTTGGATGGCAGGCGCAACAAGTTCGGTATGAGGAAACCAGCCCAGCCTTTGCAGGTGCCCTCAGAATTGGTTCGCTTATTGCTGAGCGTGAAGGACTGTTCTTTGCAGCGCTTTGGCGTCTCTGCCGCAATGAGAACACGGCCACTCTTTTTCGCAGTGATTCGCAGTTAAGCTGTGAACAGGCACATGGCACGGTTGGATGCGCCGATCTTGACTTGTCATTCATGTTGTTCAGGGGCATTTTCCAAGCTTTAGAAGCTTCGCTCCCATTTGGGCATTTGCAAATTGAACACGTTCACGGTCACAACGGTGATGCTCTGAATGAGATCGCGGATATTTTGGCAAAGACGGAGGGCACCAAAAGTTTTCATTTGCCAAGACAGCCCATTGATCTCCGCCATTGGAAACATGTGATTCCACATTTGTGGCTCCTCTTTGCAGAACATCATGGAGGTCCCAAATTTTGTGGACATGGCTTTGACATTGAATGCCCGAGTTTGCCTCCCGCACAGACACCTGTGGGTGCTGATGAACAACAACCAGCACCACTTACCTGGCGCAGAGCATCTTGGACACTTAGCATGGCATCTGCTAATGTGACTACGCTGGGCTTGGGCACCGGGGGATATCAAGGAAAACTTGATTTCCTGCGAGCACAATTTGTTGCGTTCCATTTGCATCTTTTGGGTGTCCAAGAGGCCAGATCACAAGAGGGCACGACTTTAGTTGGAAACGTGTTACGGCTTTGTTCTGGAAGTGCAGGTGGCCACCTTGGTGTTGAGTTATGGTGCAATTTGAATCAACCAATTTGCTTTGTGAATGGTGCTCCCATCTTTTTCAATGCCGGAGATTTTCAAGTTCTGCATCGCGATCCCAGACGTCTCCTTGTCCGCACCACATCCCATGACGTGACTTTCCTCCTTTTGGTGTGTCATGCGCCTCAGAGCGGAGTTAGCCTGGCAGAACGAAGTGCATGGTGGACTCAAACCACAGAATTGTTACAGGGTTTGGGCAAAGGAGATCATCTTTTTCTCATGACAGATGCGAATGCAGGTCCCGGTGAAGCAGATGGCATTGCGGCTTATGAGAATGGATTCCGCACTAGCAGTGGCACTCCCCTTTTGCGGCAATTTCTTGACGAACATTCTCTTTGCCTGCCGTCTACAGCCTCCTTTCATACTGGTCCAAAGCACACATGGATTTGTCCAGATGGTTCTCAAGAATTCTGCATTGATTTCGTTTTGCGATTCCACGTGAGTTTTTCTCCTCTTGCACATGGTCGCAAACTTTGGAAGATTTCGATCTTGGACAACAACACATTGACCATTTGGCAGTTGGCATTGAACTCCAATGGAATCAATGGACCTCCTGTGCTTCTCGGGCCCGGACTGGAACGAGTTTCGACCGCCACCGTATTCGAACCTCTCTGGACTCAACAAGCTTGATGAATCATCCAGTTGCACCCTGGAAGGCAGATGTTGAGAGCCATCTACATGATTTGAATGAACATTTTCTTTCGCAGCTTCAAACTTGCAGAGCACAGCGGAGACGGCCTAAGAAACCTTTCCTCTCCGAGGAAATTTGGGCACTGCGGAGCCGAAAGCTTCATCATCGTCGACAATTGCGTGTCGTCCAGAAGATCATCCGCAATGAAGCCATTGCTCTTTGCTTCCGGGCTTGGAAGAGGGAGCATCTTACACGTGAAGAGGCACCATGTGCTCTTGAGTTTATGGAGGGGTTTGCTTTTGGGATTTCACTCCGTTGTGGTGGCCTCAAACATGCGGCTGGTCTCATTTCTACAGCCAAGCAGCTCCGCAAAGAACTTCGTTCTGCCAAGAGGGCTGCTCTGGCGAAGGTTTTTGATTCCTTTTTTGCCAATGTCTCAGCTTCCACTATTCTCCATGAATTGAAGCCTTTTATAGGCACAGCAAATGCGAAGAAAAGAGGACTTCAACCGCTGCCCTTTGTCATGGATGAGATTGGCATTCCTTGTGCCGATCCTATTGCTGCCAGAGAGCGTTGGATTCGCTTTTTCATGCAGATGGAAGCTGGCAAAAGGATGGACGCCACTGAGCAGAGAGAGCGTTGGATCAAGACATTGCAGTACCTTCGAACTGACCAGATGGATGTTGCGATCCAGGAGGTTCCGACATTGACAGAGCTGGAGCAGGCCATGAGACGCACTCGTATTGGCAAGGCTACTGGACCTGACCACCTTCCTGCGGAAGTGTTTCATTACTTCCCGGCCGCAATTGCCAAACAATCCTTTTCCCTGATGCTGAAGACCGCCCTCCAAGGGCAAGAACCTTTGCTTCACAAGGGTGGCTGGCTATTTCCTCTTTGGAAAGGGAAAGGAGACAAAGGAGTTTGTGACTCATACTGTTCCATCTTGATCAGTTCACATCTGGGTAAATGCATTCATCGCACACTCCGCATCAAACATGCTAGTGTGTATGAGAAGTACATGCAAGCCCAACAAATCGGGGGCCGAAGAAGAACGCCCGTGACTTTAGGAGTCCATCAGGCTCGTGCATTTCAGAGGATTCAGGGCGCACGTGGGAGATCTACAGCACTCATCTTTTTAGATCTCACCGAAGCGTTCTATAGAGTCATCAGACAGTTGGCTTTACCATTGGAATGTTCAGATGAGCTCTTAGCACATGTTGCAGAACGCCTTTGCCTGGGGCCAGATGCTTTGTTTGAGCTACATGAGCTTCTTGGGCGTTCTTGTGCGGTTGCAGATGCCTCATTGCCTTTACATGCACAGCGAGCATTCAGTGCCCTGCATCTTGACACACATTTTGGCCTACATGGCCAGTCGGATCGATGCGTCACCGCCCTTGGCAGTAGGCCAGGTGACGCATTTGCGGACGTCATCTTTGGTTTTCTTTGGGCAAAGGTTTTGCATCAATACCAGAACCAGATGGACGAGTTGGGATTGCTTGAACAGATTCCTCATCAAGATGGGCCCTTCCTTTTCGATGCTCTTCATGGCACGGAGTTGGGCACTGTTGGCTTTGTAGGTCCTTGCTGGTGTGATGATCTTTGCGTTTGCATCAGTGCGGATCGTGCTGATGCCTTGACTGCACGTACCGCAGCTGCCACCGGTCTTTTGTTGGACCTTTGCACACAGCATGGAATGACTCCCAACTTGAAGCGGGGGAAGACGGAGATTGTGTTTTCTGTGCGTGGCCCGGGCAGTAGGGCTTTCAAAAAGCAAATCTTCGGGCCACATGCCAATGGTCTGCTTCAAGTTCTTGGAGAACACCAACATCATCAGGTTTCTGTCGTTGGACATTATGTTCATCTGGGCGGTGAGTTGCATCACAGCGGAGATCTACGGAGTGAGGTGCGCAGGAAGCTTGCGATTGCACACCAGACCTTTACCAAATACCGCAAATTGCTCCTTCAAAACCATTGTCTTGCTCTACCCAAGAGGGTTGAGACTTTCCGGAGTTTAGTCTTGAGCAAGTTTCTCTACGGAGTGTAATCTTGGGTTCTGAATGGACAACGCATCAAGAGCTATGTGCATGCCTCCTTGATGCGTTTGTACAGGAGACTTTTGCGGCTCGGCCCTGAAGATCATGTGAGCGATGTGGAAGTCTTGGTTTTGACAGGCTTACCTTCGCCCACAGAGCTTTTACGATTGGCGCGTTTGAGATATCTGAGCTCACTGATCTCAGCGGGCTCCGCCACTTGCTGGGGATGGTTCAATCAAGATGCAGCATGGGGAGCCTTGGTGCAAGATGACCTGTGCTGGGTTTTTGAGCAACTTCGCAATGCCTCCCATCTTCAAGATCCTGTTTCCCATTGTGCACAGTGGCTTGATCTCATTAGATGGCATCGACCATATTGGAAGCGACTTCTTCGTAGGGCCTCTCAACATGCTATCCTCCAACGAGGGCTTCACCACAGGGTTCTTCGTTTTCACTTACGTGCTTTGGATGTTTTGGAAAGTGGCGGAGTTGCAGTTCCGCAGCCTCTTGTTCAGGAAGACCTTGGAGACACAGCCTATGGGTGCATGAAGTGTTGCAAAGTTTTCAAGAACAAAGCTGGAGAGGGCTCGCATATGCACAAAGCTCATGGATATGTACATCCTGTTCGGTTGCTTTTTCAGGGCACGCAGTGTGCCATTTGCCTTCGTCAGTACTTCACATTTGCCAAGTTGCAACAACATTTGCGATGTGTGGAGGCTTGCAGGACACAATGGTATGGCCTTTCGTGCACTCTTGCGCCAGCGCCGGGCATTGGATCCTGTGTCAATCGGGATCTTGAGCAGGAGCATGATCGTTTGCTGCCTCCTTTGCAAGCCCTTGGTCCTCAACTTCCTCCAGGTCAAGAACGTGAGTTTGACTCTGTTGACTGGAAACTTTTTGCTGATCTATCTTTGATTCTCTATGACACACCGGGTGCATGTTCCCTTGAAGCGGAGCTCAGGGACCACATTCAGTCGAGAACCATCTCCTGGAGCACCTGCCTTTGCACTCTCACTGCGTTGCTTGAGCATCTTGAGGACGCTTTTGATGAGTTTGGGGATCGTAGTAAGCAAGAAGTTATTGAAGTTGTTAAGAAATTGACCAGGGTTTCCTCATGGGAGTTTCTTAATGTTACACAAAGACATGCGAGCACTCGGTTTGACTCCCTGGCCTCACCGACATCTTCTTTGGATGACCTGGATGGTGGCACCTTTGAGAAGATCCCACGCATTTGTGGGCGACACCGCATCATTTTGCATGCGTTTGCTGGCCGGCGTCGGCCCGGGGATTTCCAATACTATTTGGATCAGCTTTGTGCGCATTTGCCTGATGATGTGGTTATCCACACAGCTTCCATGGACATCTTGTATGATGTTCACCTTGGGGATGCGTCGGCTGCTGATGCACAGGCGTTTTGGCTTCGTGGAATCAAACAGCGCTTTGTAGTTGGATTTCTTGGAGGCCCTCCATGCGAGACTTGGAGTGTGGCAAGGGCAATGCAGCTCCGACAGGACATCAAAGGGCCTCGTCCCGTTCGTGATGCTACTGATTTATGGGGCCATGCCAGCCTAGCTCTCAAGGAGTTGTTGCAGGTGTGTGTGTTGGGAATGACCTTTTGGCTTTCACGCTGATTTGCATCCTATACCTTGCGCTGTATGATGGAGTTGCTGTCATGGAGCATCCTGCGATGCCTTCACTGGAACACGCAGCCTCGGTGTGGAAATTGCCTATCATGCAGCTGATTATTTCCATGCCTGGTTTTGAGCTTCTCACACTGTCAAGGCGTTTTGGGAGCTGCCACCCCAAAGCCTACATCGCTGCTGACCCTGAATTTGCCGGAACTTCAAGGAGTCTTACATCAACACAGAGTGACCAAGGAATTGCCGCGCAGGGCAGCTATCGGCAAAAAGACCGATGGCTCTTGGGCTACTACTTCACTGAAAGAGTACCCACCTGCCTTTTGTAAAGGACTTGCAACTGCTTTCTACTCAGCCATTCGGACTCCGCCTGTTGTGGAGCACGGTGTTTGTCCGGATACCTTCCTTTCCCAGTGCGCGCATCTTTTTGTGCAGCAGTTTTCATGCCACTTGGGACAGGACTTTGCTGGGTAGTGTAGAGGGGAATTCAACATGCTGCATGGCCGCAGTGATTAACTTCTGAGCGCCATAAGGAAAAAAAAATATCAGAAAGCAATGAGAACATGTCTTAAAACTCATTATATAGGGACTTTGTCAAAAATAGTGATTTATGTGGAAATTACACGGGCGTGGGGCGTCCCCCTCTCATATATAAAATATAATATCATATATATATATATATATATATATATATATATTATGATGGAATTATATATAATGCTGTATATAATAATATACAATAATTATATTATTTGTGTTTGACCTTGACCCATCAATGACAGCAACCTTGCGACTGGCAGCAGTTTCACAGCCTCTGTGACCTGCACTTGTCCCATTTGTTTCACTTTTTGGTTTCTCAGATTTGGCGTTTCGGAATTTGCACATTGACCAATGGTGGTGCCTGGCTTGCTCGAGAGCTTGTCTGGAGCGCAGCCTGGCAGTCGCCGCTCGTCCTAAAAGTCCCTGGGATCCCAAACTCAAAAGGCAACCTTTGAGGAAATCCTCTTTCATTGTAGGATCTTGACCCCCACACAAAACAGGATGACTGATTGACCCACTCCTTCCGATTATTCCCAGATCATGAGCCACAAAATGACTACAATCTCATCCCAGTTTGCCTGAGGTGTCAGAAAGTCAGAATGGCGTTCAGCCTTGGAATTTATCGTGGAGAAGATGGGTGCTGAGAACTTACGCATCACCCAGCTTCGCTTAGGCACAGCCACTCGTTTGTGATTGAGCACTGATAGCTTGGGAACCAGCAGTTGGTTTGGGAGTGGGAATGTGTGTTTCTTTCTTGCACTCAGACAGACTAATGTGGGTTGCTAGAAGCCTTTTACTCCATTGACATCCATTTAATTACAGTACATGTGTTGTGGCAGGGGGCGGAAGTGCTTCATAAACCGCTGCTTGGACAATGATTCAACATATTGGGTATTCATAGCATATGTGTGTGTAACAATGAAATGGCACATGACATGCAACCTTGGCACTATAGTACAACATAGCCGGATACCTTTGCAGATTGTGGTTGTAGGGCATTGCTAGAAATAAGTTCATGCGAAACCAAAAGTAAACTAGCACAATACTTGTTGTTTAAATCAAAGGAGAAAAGCATGCTCAAGCTGGTTTCCACGGAAAGCCAAAGATGCGCTGGTTTAGTATTGGTTTGTGCGGTTTTCGTTTTGGTCCGGCAAACTTGATTTCAGACTATAGGTGTCGTGCTTGCTCCTGAGAGATCCTATCCATGTATTCAGAATGTTGGAATTATAGATATAGAGTCTATAGTTGCAAGTGTCAGACACAGTAAGTTCTTTGCCCAAAGTCAGCTGGGCTTTGCATCACGAATAGAACAGCGTGGTGGAGCGATGTCAAGATTGCACAGGTGCAACTGGCAAACAACCTCTGTATTCTGATGAATATCATACGCGAAAGCACTTTGATGGAAACTCTAAGAAGAAAAAACAAAGAGTGTCGAAAATAACCCCATCACTTGTGGCCAACCCTCTCAACACAATGGATGATGTGATGTTTTGCCGCTTGCAAACACACTGGTTCAGAAGATGGCCATAGACATTTCACACTTGAAGTAGGTCAGAATTTTAACCGCGTGGCTGATCCAAGTGATCAAAAGCCTAAGGCCTTGCTGTGGAGCATCGTCACCTGCTGCACCATCTATCGCTGCTGGGACATGGCGCAGCTGCGATGGGTTTTGATGTTTCACCACCTATTGGCTGCTGCTGGGCTGGATGAGGCCAGTGGATCCCCAGGGAAACGGAAGTCCTGAACATCCAGCTGTGGTCCCTGCTGCTGTTTGATTCATTACATATTCCACCTAGCATGATTTCAACTTTTGGCAGCAAAACTCACAGGAATAGAGGATAACATGAATAGTACCACCCAAATGCCTCTAACATCCCCATAGTCTTTTTTTGTTTTCCTTTTTTTGCATCCCCATGTTGTCCATGTTGGCTATCCCCAGCTGAGCAGGGCTTGCTGATGTCCTTCTCGGCCTCGGAGCCGTTTCTCCAGCGGCTGCTGCGTCCAGGCTCCCCGGTGACCCCCTGGATGCCAGGGCTGCTGCCGCGGACGCAGACGGCGCACGGGCGGCCAAGGATGGTGGGGAGGGCACACATTATCCTTGGCATGTGGTTTTATGCTAGTTTTACAATCTTCCTTTCTTCAGGTTGGCATAGAGGATTGAAGTAAAATATCTCCGGGAGCCTGCGCAGAGGGCGAGCTTACAGAAAACTATCCAGACAGAACATACTTTTCATAGTAGTTAATTAGCAATTAAATCAAGGTTGCCAACCTAGCCCCTGCTATGGAGGCCCATTTGCCATGACAGATTCTGCCCTGTCCGCAGGTGCTTGGTGCCTGTGTCTATGCCAGTTTTCTGCTGATGGCGATTTTTCAGTTGATCACCTACCGAGTCTCTGACAAGGTGGCGTGAGCCATGGACCAGTTCTGGGGAATGATACCAAAAAAAAGATGACGTTTAGCGTTCCCGTAGGGTGAAGATGGTTGAAGGGTTTTTGGGTGAACAGAAGCTGTCACCAAGGACGTGATGATCTTCACTGGTGTTTTTCTTCTTGCTTGCACCTTTGAGACTGATGCTGAATGTGAGGGAAAGGTGCTGGGATTGTCTGAAAATGAAAAATTGGCATCAAATGTAATAAATTCGCGAAGCCACCAACAGGAGGACTTTCCTTGTCAGGTGAATGAGGTTTGGACGGTGCTGCACCCCATTTGACTCCCAGGCTATTTTATTGGATACTGGTGCTTGCCAAGCGTGTATTGTGAGCACTTGTGAGTAAGAGCGGAGCTTTGATCACTCATTATTATCCACTCACTTCATCCTGTGGCATCAAGTTCGTAAACCGTTTGGAAACTGCAGATTTTCCTCACGTCTCAGTGCGTCTCAAGTTGCATCAAATTACATCAAGGACCGTGGATTATTTCATTCGACGCGACCATCAGATATTCTGAAGTTTTTGGTCTCAACCTTGCTGCCTGGGTCTGAAGTCAACACTTATGTGCTGCTGGCTTGTTTGTTCCTCGGCTCTGCATAGTGTGTTCCTGGTTCTATTTTGTGCCGAATGTGCCAGATGGTCTATTCTGCAGGCATGAACATGGTTTTTCTATGTTTTTTCTCAGAAAAAAAATGAAATCTTAATTTTCAGTGTCCGATATCGATGGTCAATGGTGAGCCAAGCAAGTCATTTTCCTGCGCAGGGGATCGTTGGGTTTTATGTTAATGTATGCCGTTTACGTATCATTATTTTTAGTTGAGAGCCAGTGCCCCTGGTTTGTGGATATTTATGGTGTTGATATGTCCAAATCCTGCTCTAAGGTACTTTTGGTCTGGCAACTCACTGGCAAAAAAGGACTCGGTCAGGGTCACTTGTTCCTTTCAAACAACCTTCACACATCTTAACACTCATTTTTATTGGTTTGTGAATTGTCTCTGTTCCCAAATTAGTTTTCAGCCGCAGGGATTGTCACAGTCTACATGGCCGTGGGTGGAATGAGACCTTGTAGGCGAGAATTGGAACGAGTTAAACAAACCCAAATATTACAGAACACACAATGACGAAAACATGTTTTTCGATATCTTGCGATTTGGCCGGCATATCAAAGCATGCAGTAAGCATGTCCAATGTCAATCAATGTGGGTGTTTTGTTACTACTTCAGATTATATCAATGAGATAACAATTTGGATTGTTTGTCCCACAGATGCCACTACACGCACAGAGTGTCGAATGAGAAGCTTGCGCAAGACCAAGGTATGTACAAACTAAGGGGATTCTTTCATGGAAACTTGGAAGCGCTACTGCGGGAGGTTGATTTGTAAAGGTTTCCCAAGAGAGCATTTTTGAAAACTATTTGTTGGATGAGGTCCTGTGAATAGAATCATTGTAGTCCAATAGGGATTAATACATGGTTTGTCGCAATCTTGAAATTCGTGAAGGCTTCCCAGACCCAACAGAAGAAGATCCACAGAATCTTCCATCTTATGAAAATAAATAGTCTAGGAAGGTCTATGACCCAAGTATCGTGAAGATTCAGCAGTCCTACTGCAGGTCCCAGCGTACTCTCTAACCATGCAGTAACTCTGACGTTGGCATCGGATGCACTGAGGATTCGTGTTCCAGTACCAGTTCTTGAATTTCTCAGGCATCTCATGGTACCTTCGCAACTTCTACCTCACCAAGGACTTGTACCGGTACTGGTTGCAACATATTCCCAATGAAAAACCACTTGGGAGCAGCTGAACTGTTTTTTTGCAGAGTATCGGAACAAAGCTAACGTTGCCGGATAGTTGATAAACTGAGCCCCAAGGCCGGATATATTTTTTTGGAGGTTGCATGGCAGTGGCATATCAAAAGCCTGCCATGGTCGTTGGATTTGAATTTGGTAGGACTATCTCCCGCGTGCTGAGTTCCGTGCCTTTGGTGCACTGGGGACTTGGATTGAAATGCTGGCGGGCATCGGCATGATACTGACGGACGCCTGGCAGATTTGGACCTTACATCGGTGGACCTCGGTGGAAAAATGCATAGCAATGCAGCTATCAACAGTTGCCACATGCTAGTCACCGCGATTGTTGTGCTCCTGCATTGTGCTTGAGTTTCAGATGCCGTGTTTAAGATTTTGAAGTCGTAATAAGTCATCACGATAAGGAATAGCATGTGCTTTGGATGATGACTTGTCTCGACAAATC